AAAACTGGGCTCCCAATACTAATTTTTATGAATATTTAAGTCAACTGAATGTTAGGGTAAAACTCTGACATGACATAACAGACAATTAAGTGTGTGACTAAATAACTCATTTTGACTATTTGATTGCATTTGAAGTGTCACTCAAAATATGCATGATACATAAATGCAGTTATCAATATGTGAGTCTTTAGGACTGACCCAGACGATATGCTCATGTTCTATGGATACAAAAAGCAAAGAAAGGACAAGTAATTTTATGGTGATTCCACATAGTTTTACTGATTCCTGGTAAATTTTAAACAGCGATCAGTACTCTAGGTTACAAATTCAAGAGATGGGAATTAGATTATTTGGTTTTGGTAAATAGTTCTAGAACTTTTTAATCTCCGGATTCAAATCCGGACTATTGTACCTGAAAGTTGTAGTCAGTTGATGGCTGTTCAGTGGTTATGTAAAATGAGCTTGTGATCTCAGTTCAGAAAACTGGGAAAGCAATTCCATAGCAAGTGACATAAACCTCTTTGAAAATGGAGAGTTTATTACATGGATATAAGAAATAGGAAAGGGCTTCATAATGTTCCTGTCCTAGTTATGTAGTATGTATGGATATGATTCCAATAAAGAAGCAACATCAGAAAACCTGAAAAAGTTCCAACTGTTATTTCAGAACTAAGTTCTTGAAATCCAACATCTACCATGAGGAAGAGTAACTGGAAGGGTATTGAAGACCAAACAATCCTTATGAACATGGTACAGATTTCTAAATAGAGAGCTAGGAGATGGTAGCTTTGTAACAGTGTGTTGAGAAAGGAGTTTGAATGGAGTTTCCTTTTGAATGGAGGAGATGTGTACCCTAGCATTATGAGGAAAAGCGAGAGGAGTAGAAATAGAATTCCTGGTACTGTCTTTCTAACCTGATAGTATGGCAGGAAATAAATGTTAATAAATTTTACAAATAGTATAGCTGTGAAGAGGACTGTTACAGCCCAGATGGAGAGATCCAAGCCACAACCTCAGCTTAAATTTATCTAGCCCAAATGCTGTCCCCTCATCTCAAATGATCAACAGTTCCATGGTAGTGTGTCACACAGGCATTTTCCATTGTGCTGCTTCATTCAGTGATCTGGACATAATGGAGATGAAATCTTTCCATATCTATTTTACACACTTAGTTGAAGTGGGGAAAAACTGTAAAGTTCCCTGACTCAAGCAGGGGACAGAGCTTCTTTCAGGAGCATCAAGAGTCAATTAAGACATTCAAGTATCAGAGGGGTAGCCGTGTTAGTCTGAATCTGTAAAAAGCAACAGAGGGTTCTGTGGCACCTTTGAGACTAACAGAAGTACTGGGAGCATAAGCTTTCGTGGGTAAGAACCTCACTTCTTCTCTTACCCACGAAAGCTTATGCTCCCAGTACTTCTGTTAGTCTCAAAGGTGCCACAGGACCCTCTGTTGCCAATTAAGACATTGTACCTGATCCTTGGACTAATTTTCCCACTGCCATCCACCTGTGCAAAGTGGATGTAAAACAATATTATTCTGATTTAGCAGCATTTTACATCCACTTTGCATAGATTTAAATGCCTACACAAGACACAAGTGGAGAATCTACCCCAGTGTTTCACAGATTGAGCTGTTTAAATGTAACCACACAGAGGGTAGAAATAGCATAGTCCTAGAAGAGTGAGAAAAATGACTCCCAGGTGGTGTAACTTCATCTTAGAGAATGAAGTTATGGTTACATGGAAGTCTGCCAGCTACTAAGTGTGAGAAAAACACATCCATAATGTAGAGAGCCAATCCATGGCCTACACTTTCCATCACTATGGACAAACATATTGCTCTGCATACATATACACCAGTAGATAAGATTCCTCCTAGAGTTCCAACTCTTGGTGGGAACTCCTCCTGCCCCTAACCCTTTCTACACTTGCATGGCTCTCTGCACTCCTGGGTTTTCCACTGACAGAGGCCTAGTCTAGATTCAAAACTTAGATCACCCTGACCACATGGCTCAGGGCTGTGAAAAATTTAATGCTGTGACACACAGTTAGGTCAGCCCACTGTAGACGCAGCTAGGTCAATGGAAAAATTATTCCATCAAGCTGGCTACTGTCTCTCAGGGGGTGGATTTACTACAGTGATGGAAAATCCTGTTCCACTGCTGTAGTAAGGGTCTACATTACTGTACCACGGTTATGCTAAAGTGGCACCACAACAGCTCTGCAGCTGTAGTGTACACATACCCTTGAAAAGATCGATTAACTACATCAAGGGAAAAAACGCTTCTGTGCATGTTGGAAGACTCTACACTACAATATTACAGAAGCATGGTGCAGGGCTATAGTGGATCCACTTTAGAATAGACATATCTACTGTGCTCAAGGGTCTGAAAAATCCACACTCCTGAATACTGTATCTATGCCAACCTAACCCCCAGTGTAGACACAGCCAGGTTGAGGGAAGAATGCTTCGGTTGACCTAGCTACTGCTTCTTGGGGAGGTGGAGTTCTTACAGTGACGGACCAATCCGTTCCATTGTTGTGCTGCTGTAGTTCCCACATGGCCGTGTGACTCAATTCCCCTAACCCAAGGGTTCATTGCACCGCGACCCCCATTTGACAACAAAAATTACTTCACAACCCCAGGATGGGGGACCGAAGCCTGAGCCTGCCCAAGCCCCACTGCCTCGGGGTAGGGTGGTGGGGGTGGTGGGGCACAAAGCCTGAGCCTCACTGCTCTGGGCAGGGGTGCTAATGCTGAAGCTCAAGGGCTTCAGTCCCAGTCAGGGGGCCTGCAACCTGAGCCCCGCTGCCCAACGCTGAAGCCCTCTGGCTTTGTCCCTGGGCAGTGGGGCTCAGGCTTTGTCCCTGGGTCCCAGCAAATCTTAAACAAGTCCTGGTGACCCCATTCAAAGGTGGTCACGACCCACAGTTTGAGAACCACTGCCTCCTACATACTAACCCCCTGACACTGCTGAAATAATAAAGACTCCTCTCCTTCCCTCCCAAAATTAAATAAAACTATTAGAAAGGGAGTGGGGTACACAGTTTAAGACTAGAGCACCCACCATTCACCTCCCGCTCTTCAATCCCCACAAGGCTTGCTGCCAAGTTTCTCTCCAGGGAGCCCAATGGCAGAAGATGGCCAGCAGTGGTAGCATCTCTCCATTATTGCTCTGAGCATAGGTAGTGCTGTGCTCTCAGTCCCATCCTCTGCTGATAGCAAGGACCACCTTGGAGCCGGGGCCCTTCCAAATAAAACTGGAAACGCACCAGCTCAGCAGGGCTATGAGAAACGATGATAAATCGCACTACTGTCGCTTTACACCCTCACACACACAGGTGCAAGGCAAAGGGAACATTAGTCACTAGCCCAGCACTGCAGCCCCCAGTTCCCGTCTCAGCCTGCTCGGGGGTACCAGCACAAGCACCCCCCTCCCGTCAGCCCTCGTGATACATCACCAGGTGTTTCAGCTTGGGCGGGAGGGGGGGTCTGCGGCAGATAACACCTCCCCAGGCCCACCCCGACCGGGGCGCTGCCCATCAAATACAGCGGGGGCTCCAAGAGTTGGTTTTGCTGTTTGTGCGGCACACGCTGTCACAAAGGGGGGGGGAGGCTCTAGAAAATGGCCCCACAATGGTACCTAGTTTATGGGCAGCCCCATAGCCGCGGCTCCTGCGGAGAGTCCGAGCGGGAGATACCTCAAGCCCCGCGCGCGCCTCCGCAAATTCGAGAAGGCCGGCACGGTGCTAACCCCTCAGGCTGCCCCCTGGCCCCGCCTCCCCTCACGCGCGACGTTTAAAGAGCAGCCCGAGGGGCTCGGCCCGGCCGCACGCAGGGGGCGGGGCGGGGCGGGGCGGGGCTGCAGAAGGGAGATGGTGCCCCGCCCTGCATCTCACAGTGACACACTCGCTCAACTGCTCAGCAATATGGCGCGCGTGCGCACTCC